GAGGTGAGGTGAGCTTCTTATCAGCCATCAAAATGCGTTGCAGAGCCCGATCTTGCCGTTTTGTCGACTTTCTTCCAGAGCAGAGCCTGTCATCAACATGAACCAATTATTTGGTATTTTTCAACCACTCTGCTCACTGTGGTGCAATGGTATTTCATTCTCTTGGCTATTTCTGTACAGGCATAGCCCTCTTCATGAAGCACAATGGTGCGATGCTGCTGCTCAATACTGGTGAAAGCAAAGGCCTTCATCCTTGCCCACAGCCAGAGCTAAATTAATTATCTTGATGCTTTTCACACCTATTTATAGTCAGAGAGTATGACAACATTGATTGGCTCAGAGATTTAGCCCCTGTGCAATTCAATTGGTCAGCCAAAGCTCGCTGCTGTTTAGCTACTTTCAATCCTAAAATTCTCGAAAATTCAAGTTGTGTTTGTTTTAGCACATAAACTCACTCAAAACCTTAAAAAGACTTTGGTTATATGAATAAAAATTATGCATCTCAATCCGACTACAGAAATTTTCATCAAAGTACTAATTTTGCATGGTTTCTATGAGTGAAAAGTTGATTAAACATGTAAATACAGCTTAAATTGAAAGCATGCAGGACTTTTTCACCCAACTGTATTTAACCAATCTTGTCTTACTTTCATTGTGGTAACACAAAATTTAGCTAATGCACACTAAGGAACAGTTCTATATCCTGAAGAAGATTCACATAACATTAATTTGGATACTCAGGAAATTTATCTATTGGGGCAAAATATAAATTGACCTAATGTCCCTATAAAATTTACAACATAGTAAAACATGTGAGATAGTTTCAAATAGGACAGAAAGTTACATAAAAAATTACTATATGCTTTTAAGGAGATGCAGGATGAAAAAATAACAAATATTTTGTTTTAGTTGATGATACTGGGCTGTTATTTTAAACACCCAATGGACTAGACTCTAGAGCAAGCTTCACATGATTTTGCATCATACTATAATACAGAACCACTCAGAATTAACCATGCAAAAGCTGAACTATTAATATCTTTGGTAAGTGCTGCCAAATGTATTCTTGGCAACTGAATAAGCACCCAATCAAATAAGTCAAAATTTATTTAGGGATATTTTATTTGTCCATCAAACTCTGGCTACATTGTCCAAAATGCATAGAAATTGTGATAAGTCTGCAATCCTTTACTTATACAAGAGATAATTATTTTTCTCTGTACTTAATAATACCTACTGCAGAAAAAGTATTATTAGCTAGTGGGTATGCACAACTTTTGTTGTGATTATACAGCTCCTTTAGAGAGATTGTAGGTCAAATTTTTAAAGAACAAATTTCAAGCCTCATAATGTGTTCCTAATATAGTCTTATGCCATTATGCTGATGTAACCAAACCAGATTTGCTATAGTTTCTCACTTCATGCAATACTAACAATGGGTTATAAACATGCAGAGGCAGCTGTTAAAATACTGGTCAAGGATCTGAAAGCCCAATTAGATGTGACTGCAATAGCAGGAAAGAATATTCTTGGGCAGCCATTCATTTTTTTTTCAAAGCAGTTACACATCTAAGCCAAACAGCTATCCCCAAATTCAAAAAAAACCTAAGTCGAGCCAGATTTAATGCCTTCCCAAAACCTCGTCTCAAGGAACTACTGGGAATTCTATCTGAAAAGGAGTTTGGGTGAAGGAATTTCTGGAACACTTAAACCATGGTTTTTTTTATATATATTCCTGGATTGTGGTGGTTAATGCCTCATCTACCAGGAATCCCAAATCCATTTTATTTACAGTTATTATCCAAACAAAGTTATCTTATTTCCCTTAATGTGGCTAGGTTTGTTTTACTATTTGTAAAATACCATACCAGTCGATGACCTTTATTTATTGTCTTACACTTGCTTTTCTTTGAGTTTTTGAGTGGTGAAATCTTTATTCTAAAGCAATTCAGTATTTTATTATAAAGTAGCTACCTTTCTTTTCCGAAGCTTGTAATCATTTAGCTCTTCTTCATCTGTGATTTTCTGTTGAGGAGGTGGGGGAAGAAGCTCGAGTTCTCTTTCCTTTGCTTCTCTTAACAGTTGTTCTGCTGTTATCTGTACTTCTGCTGGAGCTTTATTTTTCACCTGATGGAGAACATTTTTAAAAACACAATGTATTTTAGAAACCCATCTTTGGAATTGACATCCTGAATGTGGCACTGAACCCATAACTGTACAACCTCAGACCCCTTCCCCTGTCTAAATCTGATAGCACTGGTAAACAGTGCCAGAATTTTCTGCTTTGGAAAGTGCTTGAAGATGCGTACTATAGCAGGTGTGTTAAGTCTTTATTACTTCACATACTGCAATTGATATAGGTAGTCCTTGACTTACAACCATTCATTTACTGAAAGTTGCAGCAACATCGAAAAAGGTAGCCTATGACTTTTTCACACTTACAACCGTTGCACCAACCCCATGGACATTGATCAAAATTTGGATGCTTGGCAATTGGCATGTATTTATTATGATGGTTGCAATATCCTGGGGTCATGTGATCACTTTTGTGACCTTTTGGTAAGCAAAGTCAATGGGGGAAGCCAGATTGAGTTAACTGTGTTACTAACGTAACAACTGCAGTGATTCACTTAATAATTGTAGCAAGAAAGGTCATAAAGTGGGGCAACTTTATGACCACTTAACAACTACCTTGCAGAGTAACAGACTTTTGGGCTCAATTGTGATCGTAAGTCAAGAAAAGAAAAGAAAAAAAGGAAGGAAGGAAGGAAGGAAGGAAAGAAAAAGAAAGAAAGAAAGAAAGAAAGAAAGAAGGATTTCACATTAATCCAGAGCTGTGAATAATTGCCCCTCCAATATTTTCTTCTAGACGCAGTAAACAGTCTATTTCTTGTAACACCCAAAGGTGACAGAAATTATAATGAAGTACGTTATTTTTTCACATTGTGCAAGTTGTCCCTGATGACATTACTCTAACTGTAGTTCCTCTTTAGACAAATATTTTACTAGGATTTTACTGGTGTTTCCTTTAAAATAAAATCAGATTTAGAGTTTCTTTTTATCCAAAAGCAAATTTGAACCGAAAGCGCCTTTATTTAAACACAGATCCCGGAGTGCTTCGGTGACTGATAACAACGATCTGATCTACCCTGCCTTCCTTTCTATCGGGTGGGTCATGCCTATTTTCCACACATCCTGAAAATCTCAGCTCCCGCCACTTCGAAGAACAAGACTTCTAGCCCACGTCTACCTTTACCTATTAGGAAACAAACACTTAGACTGAGTTCACTGAGATCCAACTCCAAGTAAATAGGCCACGGCTGCCTGTGTGCTCCCTGACAACTTCGCACTTTTGCCTCCCCCTGCCCACCTTTGCCACTTTGGGAATTCGCTGCTTCCCAGCCGCCGTGGACGCCATCTTTCCTCCCGTCGTATTAATCTATGCCGCGTTTTCCTCCTCCTCCGCCTCCTCCTCAGTTTGAACTTTGACCTCCCAGCAAACCTTGCGCCGTAGAAGGTTGGGCTTTTGGTTGCCATGGGAACAGACAAACAGCTCCGTGGAGTGGATTCGGCGTCCGCAGCGGAGCTGTGGTTTTTTTTTGTTCGGCGGAGCTCCCGCGCCCGGTCTTGAAAAGTGGCCGCTCCTGGGGAGGTGAGCCGTGGATCGACTCCTACAGTTGGAAACGGGCCTTTAGCCATCCCGTCCAGCTCTGCTCTTTCAAATATTATTTCTCGAAACTCTTTGGGTTCTCTTCGCCCGAAATTCCCATGACACTGGTGGGCAATAGAAGCAGATCAACTTGGATGTTTATTTTGGCACTGCAAAAATCCTTTTTTTCCCCCCGTGGGCTTTGAGAATTCTGTTGTATTTGGATTAAAATCTCAATTTGGTTTTAAAAGAGGATATATTAAGCAAGGGGCAGGATCTAGCCCAGTGGTAGTCAACCTGGTCCCTACCGCCCACTAGTGGGCGTNGAAAAAATCTAACTATATGGCTGGAGTGTCAACATTGATTTGATAACACATAATTCAATCAACGATGCATCAATAATGCTTTCATAGATCCCCACTTGCTATGTAATACTCGTAGTGATTTTTTTCAGCAATGGCACACTGCATATAGAAACATTGCCTCACACAGGTTTATTACTACCTTTTAATGCATGCCAACACAGAATATGATTGGACAAAAGTACGCATGCAAGGCATTTTCCAACCTATCAAAATAATTATATACCATAAAGAAAGCAATTAGAAATCAATGTGAAAATCAATTTTCACAATGCTTAAGTGTTGGAGGGGAGAGTTATAAAAAGGACCACAATCCTTTTGTCTCATCATTCTTGTTTTAAGCAATGATTGAAGTAATGCACAATTTATACTGTTTTGACTGTGACAGTTGCAGAAGCTGTTTTTAAAATGTATGTCAATAAACTATATAACATAGTCTGCCTTCTTGTATTCTATGATTTTCTTAGGAATTTAGTCAGCTATATGAATGATTCATCAGATAGTGTAAGAGTATACACATGCTAATAGAGTGTACAGTACCAAATTTCCTAGATTAAGCCTCATTTAATCAAAGAAGATGCAAGATTCATGAATCATTTTCTTTTACCTTTGCCTCTAGCTCTTCATAGAGTGCATAATTGATCCACAAATAGATGTATCTCTTCCAGTGTCGCTTTTCTTGAATTGGAGGTACATTGGCAATGGCTCTTTCATAAACTTCACGTATCGTATCAGAATCCGCATCACTTTCTACCAGGCGCAGATAATCAAACCAAGCATCATAATTATGTGGATTAGCCTTTCAAGAGAAATGGGGAATACCTTTAGAAGTACAAGCATGGTACAAAATTATCAATGTAATTGTCAAAGCATGGTTTACTGCAGTGTTTCTCAACCTTGTCAACTTGAAGATGTCTGGACTTCAACTCCCAGAATTCCCCAGCCAGCATTCGCTGGCTGGGGAATTCTGGG